AATTTATGCAGTTATTACATTCTTCAATATATTGCTATTGTACTTATGCAGTTATTACATTTTTCAATATATTACTATTGTATCCTATAATATTGGATTTTATAAATTCTTTGAACGAATCTCGTATACGAATTACTCATTACTTTATAATTTTCTGACAATCGAATTATCTTTATTGATATGCTTGAATTATATATTTCTTGCAATAATTTCATTATTATCTATAATATGTATAAAATTGATAATTAGACTTTATAATTACTACGAGTTTGTTTTTTAAAATTATTGGGTGAGTAAAGTTATCATCGCATATGATGCTCATTGTATAAAAAGTATTAATAATAACTGCATTTGTATTTCTTAATATAAATTATATAACATTATAATATTATATATAATATAAAATTTATATTTATAAGATTACAATTAGCCAAATAGGATTACATAATCCTCATAAATTTATGTCAATATTATATAAAATATTATATTTTCCTTATTATTTATATAAGATATAAATATACAAGATAAGTTAATATAGATTAGATAATATATTAATATATAATATATTAATTGTGATATATATATTTCAGAAATTGACAAAATTTGATTGGAAATTGTGAGACGAATTCAAGCAACTTTTTTTTTGATAAATTTTTATTTCGATTTCATTAACGAGTTATTAATAAAAAAACAATTGTTAATCACAAATTTGTCGTATTTGGACAATGGTATCGAAATTGTAGTGCCGAACTTGAATAAACAATGAAAACAACATGTGTCGAACATATGTTGGTGATTCGTTCATCGTTTGCATGGTGATAGGCAAAATTTAATAATTAAAGTTACGAATAATGTTACTTCAATAATAATTGTTGTTCAAAACATAATAGTAATTGCACATAATTATAATGACAAACGACCAAAATTATATGAAAAGCGGATAGATTATAAAAGCTAAAAAAAATGTTATTTAAGCATTTAATAAACAATCATTTAAGTAAAATTATTAAGTAATTTTATTCGACATTTTTAACTAGTTAGTTTTTCAACGAGTTAATATCCAACTTTGATTGATACATAACTTGTTTACATAACTTGTATTAATACTGTCATTGCGGCACGATATGATAATAGATAATGTTTGCACTATCATATTTCGATTGGGCCAGATTTTTCATTAATAATTCGTTATAAAATCGAAATGATTTTCACAAAAAAAATGTTGTATCATATGAAATTAATCTAACAACTTTTCAAAAAACGTCTAACTTTTCAAAAAAAGAAAAAAAAATCAAGTTATTAAGTTCAATTTTGAAAATGTTATCGTATTTAGAAAAGATATCTTAAAACTTAATTTAATTAACCGATTGAATGTATTAACATTCTGTAAACCGTGGATTAAATGGAATAAATTTAAACAAATTTCAAAATTTTAATAAATTTAAACAATGTTTATCTATAAGTGTTTCGTGTTTTTAGTTATCTAATACAAAAAATTATTACGTATTTGACTATATTTAATCTCTCATCGAAGCAAATTGACTCGAAGCTCATGGAGCTTTATCGCGCAGTGGATATTCATAACCAAGTTATCGAGTTGGTAAATTAAAATATGATTACATTATAACTTCATTTCACAATGTTTATAATAATAATATATTCACGAATTTTATGTGACAAAGACTTATCAATGCAATGAATAATTCAGGAATACAATTTATGATATCTAATATTCTAATCGTGATTTCAGTGGCAATAAATCTGCATCGAGTATCCTTTTTTTACACATATATACTATTTTACATGTATAATAATAAACGTAAATTTGCAATTGTCAAAATTTTCAGATAATATATAAGATATTATTTTAATCTGTCCAAAAAATTATTTTTTAAATTGTTTATTATTTAAAAGAATATTTTATACGAAATTTTTGTTGCAAGAAAAATATTTTTTAATTAAATTTGCTTAGATACAGGTTTTTTCAAAATTTCAAAATGACTGAATTTACTTTTCGTTAAATAAAATTATATATATATACACACACATTTTTTTTTAAGGATGTAATCTAGGATGAATTCGTTGTCCTAATTATGATCTTTGAAATTCATGATCTTTAAGATCATTCATTGCCATTCAAAACTTTTCATTAATTAGAAATTATTTTCTATATTTTATATTCAAAAGAATAGTCATACATATCGATACAATGATTTATTCTCTTTCTAAATAATCACACTACTTTCTTAAAAATATTATAATTAATTTGGCAGATGTTCTATATGCATATATAACTTTCATATAATCAGGAGGATCAATTTTTTTTAGAAGAACTAGAATTTTTTCTTTATGTAACTTCAAAAAGAAAAAAATCAAAATCCAAGTAAATACTGTAAAATAACTCTAATAGAATATTTACGTTCATAAATCTTATTATTCATCATATATTAATGACTTAATTCAACAATGAAGAAAATGTAGTCATACATAAAAATTATTTATTTATTACAATTTAAACAATTGTAAGTGATTTTCAATGACTTTTAAAAATCCATCTGATTAGATCAATGAATTTATATTGAAATAGATTACAATCTTGAGTAAATAAAAACATACAATTTTATTTAAAAAAAAAAATTGTTTTCAGATTTCAGAAATATCTCGATCTAAACAAATTTTATCATCAGAAGATAATCCCTTAAAATACAAGATTTATATAAAATATTTTTTTTTGTAATAATACATAATTTGGAAGATAATTGCGTGAATAGATCATAAAATGAAATCCTCTATAAGTAAAAGTAGTTTTGCTTAATCTTTTTTTTGAATTTTTTAAATTTATTATGAAATACTAAAAAAGATGCTATAAATTTATAATAAATAAATATGTAATTCATTAAAAAATGAGTACATCTTATTTATCATACAATTATTTTTATAATCTCACAGCTAATAAATGCGATTCTTATTAAAAATCAATTAGAAATTTTGATCTTTCTTATATTTCTTGTCTTTCAAACAGTAATTATGTTTATATGTAACTATAGTGGTCAAATACTTATAGACAATAGTCAAGAATTACTTTATGACTTGTAAGTTTAAATTTTTTATTCATGAAATTAATTGCATATATTAATTACTAATAAAAAAAATAAAAAATGTTTCATTATTTATTTATTTCATTAACTATCATTATCAAATATATTTCTACGTGGTATTTTGTACCGTTAAAAGTACAAAAGATTTTATTGTTGATCATGGTACGGAGTTCAACAATATGTATAATTAGCATCTTAAGTGTGTTCACTCCATGTCATGCAGGATTTTTGACAGTAATTAATTTAAATGAATATATCATCATTTGAATTCAATAAAATGTTCTATATTTCAGATGTTAAGTACATCGTTTTCATACTTCACTTTGATGTATTCGATACAATACAATCATGTTTCGATGGTTTTATGTTAGATGTAGTATTGAAATAAATATTGTTATTGCTCTATATTTAAATTTATACTTATTTAACTATATACTATATATTATTTATACTATATATTTATTTAAATTTCTTTTATTTTATTTTATTTTTCTTCTCAATATTTGTTTGATCAAATATTCTATAAATATAAATATGAATTTCTCGAATCACTAATTAATTTATATCATTTCTTATTGATTTGTTGTTATTGATTATTTCAACATTATTAATTTAAAATAATTAATATTTTGCATATTTATTTCTTAATTCTTTTTTAAGTACTAATGCTATTGAAAAGTGAAATCAAGTTATCTTGGTTGCTGTATAAGTCAGCCTTAGTTTTTGTCTTTAATAAATACAAAAACAATAATTTCCTTTTATCACTCATATTATTATTACATCGGTTTCGTTTCATTCATTTCATTCAATCGACATCAAAAAAAATGTTTAAGAAATCTTTGAAATATATGTAGATTAAACATTAAATTCGCAAAGAAAATTCATATATGTTTAATAAAATTAACGAATTATTTTTCATTAATAAAAATACTCAGTTAGATGCATATTGTGTGTGTGATGCAATATTGTGTCAGTTTTGTAACTTCTCGAAAAGATGATGAAATCATGGACTTTCAAATAAACAATTAACTAACTCAAAATTTTAGCATAACATAATATATAATATATGTATTACGTAACTCTTTATTTAACAAAAATTTATCTTGAATAAGTTATAGCAAATTCCAGGATGTTAGCATTATACAATATTTTATTTATCTATAAATAAATTATGTAAATATTTTATTTAAATTCATAGATAAATTATTGTATGACATCTATCTGCTTGCCAAAATTCATTAAAGCAAATCGTAAGAATTAGAAAAGAAATCCATTGAAGCAAATCATAAGAATTAAATTTTTCTTTATAATTAATAATTTGATTATCAAAATAATTTTGAAAAAATTAATGAATAAAAATATCACTAATATGCAGTGATAACATAAAAAAGAAAAAATACTCATATTATTAATGGATATAAGATGTAATGTTAATATGATATGCAATCAAGATATAAATATTGAATTTTAATTATTTCTTTTTGATTCAGTAATTATATTATATTAAAATAAGAAATCTTTGTATGCACGAGAGATAGAGATAAAAATTTTTCAATTGATGCATTGATATCTGTGAAATTATAATTAATTCGATTTCATTTTATAATATTTATTTTATTTTATTGAAATGAATCTCTCATTTATTTTTTTAATTTTTTATTTTTTAATTTATATTGTATATATTTATTTATATTTATATTATTTTATTTATTTCATTATTCAAGAATCATTAAAATGTAAACTGTGTACATAAAATGCGGATTGCGCAGAGTAACTTTATATATGTTATATATTACATGATAATATTTGACATAATAGTTTAAATAAAAAAACAATCAGCTGATTGTACGACGAGAAAAAGACTTTCAATGACATAGTGAAAGATGCGCTCGCGGCGCTTATAATGGTGCTCGCATAGATTCGCGCTCGTAAGCGTGCCACAACTTTATTCAATTGATAATCTTTAATTCGGCAATATAATTGGCTGACTATTTTTTTTGTTTAAACTATCATGTAATTATTAATTACTCAAATTTCAGTTTTGGCAGTATCACTAAATTTAACGATTGTATATATAACGATTATATATATTTATATAACAATTGACGTATAACGATTTATATTTTAGCCAGCTGATTATACTTTTAGATTGTTTATTATATTTTTATTGTTGATTTATTATTGACTATTATTGTTGATTATATTTTTAGATTGTTCCTAACATTATTAACTAATGTAATAATAACATAAATTTTGACGATTTTTTTTTTTAATTATTAATTTACATGTGTGGGAAATTGCCATATCTCAATCCATTCGCATCCATCGCCACAGCTGACGAGGCTTTATTATAATGTCATATTTATAACATAAATAAAAATCAGTTTTGGCGGTTTTGGTCAAAAAAATCTATCGTTGGCTCCCGGAGTATAATGTAATCCGCATATCTTATATACAATGCTAGATGGCATTATTATATACAAACATGTATTATTTATTCTCACGTATTATTTGCTCTAATAAAAATTATTTTTATTAATTGATTAACTGCATATATATATATATATTCTAACAGGTTATGGACACAAGAGTTGTATAGATTTTGAGTAGTTTCGTTTTTTTTTATTTCAAAGAAAGTGAGGTTAAATTTCTTTTTCGCCACGTGTTCGTTATAATAAAAAAAAATGGATTCAGCATCAGGAATACACAGAATAGAGACATTATCGAAAAATAATTATAAAACCTGGAAAGTCTATATGGAAGCATGTCAAAAATATGGTTAACGAGAAATAGAAATTGGAAATATGTTGGTAAATGTTCGAAACCAGATCTTATAGAATGATTTTATAGAAACTCTTTCATAAAAATGTTGAAATTTGGAAAGAAACTGATTCCATGGCGAAGACTAATTTGTTGTTAGCGATAAATCTTTTGAAGTCAGGCAAGTAAAAAAATTTACAGATATCTTATGAAATTTATAAAAAATTAGAAGAAATTTATCAATCAAAAAGTTTTTGCAGAAAGGCTGTTTTATTTCATAAATTTTATTTTACATAGAATGTAAGAGAATGATGATATAAAAATACAAATGAATGATTTTTTTGAAATGATTGATAAGTTGTGTAAGATTACTATTGAAATAAATGAGAAATTGTTATTGTATATACGTAATGTATACGTATTGTATATACGTCTGCTTTTAATAATTTGTCAGAAAGTTTTCAGGTTTTTAAATGTATGCAATCTAGAGATAATTTACCAAATAGATGTTGTTAAGATAAAAATTTTAGAAGATTTAGATTCAAAAAAAATGAATTGAAAAATAGTCAAATGTTATTGGCTCAAATATGTAAAGGAAAACAGCATTTTAAATCACAAGAAGAAAGACTATAAAAATAATAATATATAGATAATAATAAGAGGTTTATTAATATTAAATGTTTTAAATATCAAAAATATGGTCATAAAATGTATGAATGACTATAAAGATAATAATAATACTTATTCGTATTTGCATAAGAGTAATAGAAGCGAAAATCAAATTCACATTTGGTATTTAGATAGCGGTTGCACTTCTCATATATTTCAATGAAAAAAGATTTTCTGATTTAGATACAAATCAAAATATAATAGTACATTAAATCTTACTACTAGTACTTGTGTTAAAGGTGTAAGAGATATTAAAGCTATATTTAAGAATAGTGAAATCACTAGATTGCTAATTTGCATAATGCTTTATTCCAAATTTAAGAACTGATTTTCTGTAGCCAAGATTGCAAATCAAGTATAACAGTAATTTTTCAAAGAAATAAAGCATTAAGTTTTATAGAAAATAATGAGCTATATCCATTAGTATAACAAAAAAATTATATAATTCTATTTTTTAAAAATTAAACTTGTCTTTCATTTGATCTTTATATATCCATGTAAAAAAAGTTTATTAGATTATTTCCTAAAACTTGTCAAATATTTGACTGAATTGATTTAAATGGGACAATCTATATATAATTTTTTTATATGTTATTCTATTGTTACTATAGTTTGTATAGAATAGTTTGTATAGAATAGTTATTATCATTAAATTTTATGCATTACTATTTATAGCAAAAAATTTTTCAGGTATTGATTGCAGGACATATTCTAATATTATTAATTTTTTTTATAAATAGGATGCATAGAGAACATATAAAAATCATTAATTTATAATAAAGTTTTCTAAATGAGTATATTTTTTTAGTTGATAACTGTAATTAGTACAACTTGATATTTTTTATAAAAAAATATTAATTTACTTGTGAAAAATCATTAGTTTAAATTATTTTAATTTGAAATTTGTAAAATTATTATTATATATTTATTATTATATATTATTATTATTATATTTGTATTATTATATGAAAAATAAGAAGAATATGAATAGTAGAATGTTTGCAGATTATTTATCTTTTGATAAGTAATTGATAATAAATTTTATAAACTACAATTTAAAATGATTTTTGACACACAATTTAAATTGATTTTGGACACAAATAGATTTTTTTCATTCTATTTTAGAAAATATGAGAATATAAAGTTATTTCAATTGGTGCGGTGCAAAAAAAAATATATAATTCCATTTAAAAAAACATATCTATTTAAAAAAAAAAGAACTAACAATATCAAAATGTTCTTCTTAAAATCATTCAAATATTCTTGATGTGAAATATGTTTTGCTACGGATAATGAACTAAATAACTTCGATAATGAACTATATAATGTATCTGTTATAGTTGATTAAAAGACAGTATCATGCGGTATATTAATAACAAAAAATGTTCTCTTAATATAATATTTTTTTCAAAATATACATATGCATATTATATAACATAATGTAATTATTAGTAATAATTAATAAAAAATATAATAAATAGTAATAATATAATGTAAAATAAATTTTAAAAAATTTCCAAAAATAAAGTTATTGTCACTAAAATTTAATGAACTTTAATTTATATTACTATTAATAAAATTTATAATTTTGAAACGAATTCAATTACCGAATTAATACGAATTCAATTACTGAATGATAGAAAAATTGATAAAAATAGTTTTTTATGATATATTCGTTAGTAAAAGTATGAAGTATTGTAAACAAAAGTAATATACATATAATGATTCAAACTTACTATTTCTAGATATTTTTAAAGAAAACTTTTCAATTTCCTTAAGCATGTTATTTTTCGTGAATTTTTCAAAAACAATGAATTTGAAGATAAAACAGAATTAAAATTTATTTCATTCGCATTCATCTCACATTAATATCTCACTTACATTTTTGTATTGATTCATGTTGATTATTCCTCGATCCGAATGAAAATGAAAATGAAAATTCTATCATCTAAAATACATATGCAATTGTTATTTCAAATAAAAAAAAAAAAGAGACATTCAATCTCTTGCAAAATTATTAAAGTAAAATGCACTTATTAAGTTATAGAAAATTGAAGGAAATTATCTAGAAATATAACACAGAATCTACAAAATTTTCATTGTGAAATAATATAAAATGTGTAAAGACAAGATTGACATTAATGAATAAATAATTTCATTTTTATAATAAAGATAACTTTTAACTTATAGCTTCTATCATTCATTTGAAACATTTCAAAGTATACAATGAAAAAATAATGCAAAAATGTTATTAAAGATGGAAATTTTATGTTTTCATTACTTTTTCTTAAGAAAAAATAAAACTATAGTTTTTTCGATTGTCGTATAACAATGAACGTAATTCAATTTATTGTCAGATTTTCATTGTCCGATGATTTTTAGCTATGATTTCAAAGAATATTTTATTTCTTTATATTTATATTTTCTCTATTTCTTTAGGTATCGGGTAAATTTAATTATTTAATTAATAATTAGTTAATGATACAAATTATAATTCAATTATGAAAACAAAATGAAATATTAGATATATATTATAATATATATAATCATTCATGAAAGATTTTGGATAATTTTTATGAAAAAATCATTTATAAAAAAAAAAATATAAGTTTTTACATATAGTATAAAAATATAACATAATTTATTTTATTATGAAGAGTTTTTGTCTTTATGTGTGATTATACTATACTTATATCATTAGTATTTTTATTATGAAAAAATAGGTACTCAAATTTATATATTCTATTATATTGTAGTTGATATCAATTTTTACAACATCATTAGAATTGGATAATATTGCAAATGATATATCGTTTATTACATTAAATATAATATTAATGATACTGTATGGATCATATTGCTATTCTATAAACAAAGTATGTTTTTGAGAAATCAAGATAAACTTTTAAATACTGTAATATTGCAGTTTATATTTGTATATAAATATTTTTTTTCTTTTTTTTTTTATAATAATCAAGCAAATATTTAATATAATGGAAAACAATTATTATAAATTAGATAACAACGAAGAGCACAAAATAATGAAACATTATATCGATATTGGAACATATTTAATTAAATTTCTTGCAAGTAAGAATTTGATCAAATAAATTATATTAATAATTTTTCATCTTTTTTACAATTTTTATTTTTTCATTTAATTTCACCATAACATACATTAAATTTGAATTTAATTCTTTTAATATTATAATGATTTAATATTTTTTGTTAGTTTTTAAATAATTATTTGTAATGAAAACATAACAAATAGAAATATAAGATCGCAAAAATCAAATATATTTCTTATTTAATTAATTCAAAGCGAAAATAAAAGTATTGAATATTTAATCTTATTATATTTTCAGTATATCTAATTCCATGTTTTTTTCTTATAATGCTGGTGACATTATATCCCATGGTTTTTAATGTCATATTACCGTTAAACGAATCTCGTAAATTTATTATACTTTGCGATTTATATTATTTTGTGGATCCACAGGAGTATACTAGTATCTTTTTATTATATATATTGCTTCTTTTATTTTATACACGATTATTGACACTCAATTTATGATAATAATATTCGTTCAACATTGTTGCGGATTTTTCAAAATTGCCAGGTTAGAAAAAAATATTTTATATTTTATATGATGTGATCTTAATTAAAATTAATAATTTAGTTAACTCTTGTCATCATTAGTTAATATATTTATTACTAAATAATTATAATTTATGTTTAATTATAATTTATATATTATAATAATTATAATTTATGCTCTAATTTATGTTTCGAATTTCATTATTAAAAGATAGTTACTTAATCAAAAATTGAATATTAAAAATTTTGATGCAAGAGTTAATAATTAATTATAAATTAATTTTTAATTAATTATTAAAAAATTTTTAATATATTTTTAAAAAATTAATTGTTTTAACAAATTTTAATAATTAGAAAAAATATATATTATATTTATATTTATATTTATATTTTATAGTTATCGTTTCGAACATGCAATGGATACATACAAAGGACAGAATGAAATCGAAATATATTATATTATTTGTGCAAAACTAATCAAAGCAATAGAAGTATATAAATTAGTTGTCAAGTTGTATTTTTTTGTCAGTTTTTTTTTTTCAAGAAAATTTTGATCTTCATTTTTCATTGTTAAAGGTTTTTTAAATGGTCAAATATATATAAAATTCTATACACTATAAATATATTCTTATATGTATTTGATGTCAGTGTTCAATTATATTATGTGAGTAATTATTTCTGAAATTATTTCATAAGTATAGTTTAATATTATATATTATCGATTAATATAATTTTCATTGATATTTTCCATTTAATGCAATTGTTTATTTATTTTTAATAATTGATAAAAATTATTAAGATTATTAAAATTATTAAGATTATAAATTAGATGTTAAAAGAAAATCTGGTTGTATGTATTAAAAAAAATTTATTTTTGTAAATGTACTTTTATTCTATGAAAACGATAACGTAAATAATTATTACAATAAAATTTATTTTATTTATAATAGGTCGTTTATATGCTTCAACAACTGGAGAACATCTATAAATTGTGCCTCAACATGTTATTGCCGATTGGTAAATTTTGTTTTTTATTTTTAATCAGTTATTTAGGACAGAATATAGAAAGTCATAGTAGCGAAGTTTTCGAAAAATGGTATGTATTTTATTATAATATAATATAATATAGAATGAAATATAGTTAAAATTATATTATATATAATATATATATAAAATGTTAATATATTCGTTGTATATTTTTTAGAAAATCGATCCTGAAACTTAAAATAAACATAAAAATTAATATACAAAAATATCGGTTGATATAATAAAGTAGATTCATTTTTTTTCTGTTTTCATTTTTTCAACTTCAAAATGATTAAATAAATATAAATAAGTCTTAATATTTATTAATATATTAATACAATTTTGTATTTTTTTTTTAGAATTGATTTATCCTTTATAACACAAATATATTAACATCCTATATATTATCAATTAACTGAGTAATTATAAATATAACAATTATTAATAATTATAAATAAATTTCATATAATTAATTATTTAGTCCTTTCAATGTAAAAATTTCTTAATATTCAAAAATCGAAAATATATACAATACTATAAAACAGCATAAAACAATAAAAACAATATTAATATATTAAGAACGCAGCATAAAAATGAAGAAATTGCAAGAAATTATTACAATTTTCCAATCATTTTTGCATATAAGAATGATTTTATGTATGTTTATATAATATTAATATATTATATTATATAATAATTATTATTATAATAAATTTATAGCATTAAAAGGGTTAAATACTGCACAAAATATTCAGTTTTATGAATTGAATTTTTTGTATTAAAAGTTATGATAGTCTATGGTATACTGCACCAGTAGCTATAAGAAAGTTACTATTGATTATAATGATAAATATCATGAAACCGTGTCAATACAAAATGTTGGGAGGATTATTTAAAGGCAACATCAAAGGTTTTGCACAGATAATTAATTCAAATATTATTAAATATTTTTAAATAACATCGAGGAGAGATGTGATAGAACAGTATAGATTTGTATTTCTTAATCTTTTTTTGAGTTATAAAAATAATAGATTCTTAAGAAAACTTTTAAAAATTAATATTGGGATAATATCAACATTTTTATTTTATTAAGAAATCTCATATTCTTTAGAATAAAGAAATTTAAATAATTATAAAATAATTATAAAATAAATGAATATGTAATTAAAAATAATTTTCCAAAAAAATATCAAGATTAGGAATTATTGGTGTAAATTGATATTTACAACTACAAAATCGATTTAGGGAATAAGAAAAAAAACAAAAAAAATTGAAAAATGTAGAAATAAATTAAATAATTAAATATCAAATTTAAATATCTGAAGAATAATCAAGGAATTTCAAACAATCAATTTTAATTATCTCTTCTAATTATCTCTTCCAGATCGTATATGATTCGTATATGTATCTCGTATTTCATGAGCATGCATTCGACACAATAACGAATACGTTGAACATATTTCATAACAAACTGCGTGTATTATTAAACTCAAAATATGTTTATTACACCATTAATTTGTAATAATACTAATAAATAACCATAATAATAATAATTGCATTTATACAATTATATAGTGTGATTTATGAATTTCTTTATAATTTTCATATATAAATTATGACGTCACCAAATTCACTATGAATTTTATACCATATTACTACTATTATATCTCTATAAATACTACTTTTTTTCTTTTCATAAAAAAAATTTTCTGGCTAATCTATTCAGAATTTATTTAAAATTGTAACTTCTCTGATAACAGCAATAAATGTTAATTAAATAATAAAAGAAAATATGGGAATTCGATAAATAATCCAATCATAAAAAAAATCATTAATCTTGTTTATATTTTCACGTTAACGTAATAACGTAAGAACAATGTTAAAATTATAAGTGAAAAAATTAACCAAATAAACTTGAAATTTTAAAGTCTATGTTGAGATACTACTATTGTTATCCGCACTCTTGCTATTTTTATTCTTAATTTTTATTCTTCTTCTTATTGTTCTGTCTGTTATTCTGTATGATCAATAGTGAAAAATTTTAGAATAGCTATCAAACTCAGCATATCTAATAATGATCGAAAATGATAAGGATAATAATTCAATAAGTAATAAAAGAACAAAATATTAAATTCTTAAATCACTTATTCTTTTAATTCTATAGTTATGCTTATAACATTGCTCGTCGATAAATACTGGATTTAATGTTTTAATAAAATTAATTTCTATAGCTTTGCTTTAAACATTAATAATGATTAATAATGATTTTATGCCAAGTAAGTAAGTTTCAAATTTCAAGCATTTACTTTATTAATTTTTATGTTTTCTTTTAACATTGCCAACAGATAATGTATTAGATTCAATAAAACTTAAAGTGTTAAGTCTTTATTTCTACATTCATAATTTTTTTCTCAACATTTAGATATTAGTATATGCACGGTCAATCGCAGCATTTATAATACAAGCAATGATCTATTTATAAACAGCAATGATCTATAGGAATTATATTCATTGTTAATGAGAATAAGCTACAACTTGTTGCATGATAAGAGAATGAATGACCGAAGTGATTGAAACGACTATATAAAGCAGATAAACGGAAAAAAATTGATAGCATTAAATTTCTAAGATTATTTCTATAAGACAAATAGATAACATTAATAGTATATTCAAATGCAAAAGTAGATTATTTTAAAACTAAAACTTTTGTCTTATTTTTTATAGTATTGAAACTTATTGTTTTCGCTGAGGAAGAATATGTTCTCTTGTTTACTTATAGTAGTATTAACGGTTTGCTGAGAAATTTCAGTATGATTGTCACTGTGTAATTTATAATTATTACTTTAATGTTAATTATAATTGTTAAAATTATTTGTGAGATTTGTATTTATATTACTTATTTCGGATTCCGTGTTTTTATTATTGTTTAATGTTGTTATCTTAGTAACGTTATTACATTGATTGAAATGATTTAAAATGAAAAATTTATAATAATTTGAAGGAAATCAAAAAATTAAATATATTAATTGATTTAAATTATTAATTACATATTTAATTATATATTATTTTCTGATGAATCAACGTTCACAAACCATGAAGAAGTTGAGACATAATATGCATATTATTGATCTATTGAAAGTCTCAAATAATTAAGGTACATCATCAATATTCATGGTATGTCAATGAATAGTGCATATTATATCATAAATAATGAAATTATTGGCTCATTTTTTATTGAAGAGAATTTAGAACAAATATGCTGATTTTATTATAAATATATTGCTACCTTATTACATACTTTTTGAAAACATCTGATCAGTATCAGATTTAGAATACTTTAGTTTCAATTAGATTGTCGAGCACATTGTGCACGTGTTGTATGAGATATATTAAATTTGAAGTTTTTTGATCTTTTGATCGATCATTCATTGCATTCCTAGATCCCTAGAATTTTATTGGGTATGAACAATGAAGAAAAATTCAAAGTTCATATTAAAAAGAAAATTATATAAATTTATATATAAAAAATATATAAATTTAGCTATAATATATACTTTATATTATTTATGATATATATTTTTTATAATATATACTTTTTATTTGGCCTGAAGCCAAGATAAGATAATCCTGCAAAATTCAATTATTTTCTATTTTTCAAAATCTATAATTATTTTTTTATTTTATTCTTTTTTTTAATATTATAAATCTACATGTATTTATGGTTAAAAATATACATATTTTTAGATATTAATTTAGATATTAATAGTTAATTTTAATGATAATTAGTATATTAATTATTTCAAAAAAATAAACCATCTTACTCAGAATTGCTCTATTTTTAATATAACAGTATTCTCTTATTACTATTATTTAAACGTGAGAAGAGAGATAAATAATGTATAATGAGAAAAATAAAAGAATAAAAAATATCAAAATATATGATCTATAAGGCATATATTTCATATATATATGAAATAAACTTCTTTATTCAATAAATCAATCTTTATGTTATGGATTATATCGAAATATAAGAATTAATCGTATACGAAAAAAAGACTCAAAATCTGAAAAAGACGAAGTATTATCTTTTTCAGGGAAAAAACGCTTATGATAAAGAAAAAGAAAAAAAATTCTATTCTTCAAAAGAAAATAAAGATATAATATGCAATATTATCTTCATAGATAGATTTTTCTTTAATAAAAAATATAATTTCATGAAAATTGAAAATTTTTATAATGTTATCCATAGTCTCCATCGTCTTCTGAATATTAAGGGATATAAATGAAAAAAATCTAATAATTAAAGAAAAGTCTTTATTCAAATATCGAATATAATTTGAAGGCGAAATATCTAAAGCAATACTATCTATCTACTATTTATTGTTTATTTTATAGATTGGAAAATAGAAATATTTAAATGAAACATTTTATGGTTTAACAAATATTGACAGATTAAGAATAATTTTGGCTTATTAAGAAATATCAATTCAACATATAGATTTATCATAATGCATTTAGATCGAAAAATGAATTTATGAAAGAAGTAACTATTAATTCTTTTTGATTGATTTGGATTGTTTAAATTTTGCTGGTGTTTGCACGAGATGTGTTAATTAAATTCTTCTAACTATTAAATTAAAGAAATCTATGTGAATTGATAAAAACTATATTCCACGATTATATATAATTTTCAATGACTAAGAGTTCTAATTTGCTTTTAAGTATTGTTTGATTATTGCTTGTTTAAATTTTGACTTCCTTATATTTATATTTATATTTATATTTATATTTATTATATTTTATAGAAATTGGACTTCGATCATTTTACATAAAAGAAATAAAACATACATGGATTATTTGATTTTATGTATTGCAAAATAATAAGAATCAAGTTTATCTTATTGATAAAAAAAAAGACTAACAAAAAATAACTATTCTCAAGTTATCAAATATCGAGTGATCATGCCTTGAGCGAAAATGATTATAGCAAATAATTAATTTAGAAAATTTTGAATTTGTATATGTTTTGAATATGTAATTTCGGAAATTGGAAAATTATAATAAATCATTAGAATGTGCAAAAAAAAGTTATAATTTGTTAATTGAAAACAATATTCTACATTTCAAAAATATAAAAAATATAAATGTAATAGATTAATTAAAAGACTTAATAAATCTGAAAAAAGTTTTAAATGAATGAAATGTAATGAATTAAATAATATGTTTTACATTTACTTCAATACATATATGACTTGAATTCAATAAAATTGATTTATGCATAAATGAGATTAAAATTTGAGAAAAAATCTTTCATGTTGATTAATTGAATAGAAAAATTAATTTATAATAAAATAGATTTGGTTACAACATTCAATTGAGAAAATTAAAAAATATATCATGTAGAAAAAATAAAAAAACGATTTATGGAAATAGAAATAACTTATTAAAAAATGCCATAGATTGAATATTGATATTCAGAGCATAGATTCTGAAGATGATTCATTTGATATCAACAAACTGTTTTAAAAAATTGATACGATAAAAAATATCATGAAATTATTTTTACTACATATTTACTATTTGTTAAAATAAATGTTGAAATTGTTTAGAATCTCTCATTTATAAAAAAAAATCTCATTTATAAAAAAGCATATATTTTATAAGATGTACTATTTAAATTATATCTTACAATTTTCTCAAATTATTATAATTATTAAAGTAATCAAAGTATTGTTATTAAGATAATCAAATTAATTGAGATATTTTGTACATAGCTAGAATAAAAATCATAACTAGTAGCTATAGAAGCAATAATCATAAGTATTATTAAGCAATAAGAATATGTTTGTTGTTATATGTTTTTACATATGTTTTGTAAGTGTAATAGAATTTAAAATAATATTTATATGTATAAGGTATCCCATGGAAAGCTATATTTTTTAAACAGTTAAATAGAAAAAACTATTAGAAATCAAAGTTAAAAAATATTCAATGAAGCAATCTGGATAATTATATGCAGATATAATTTTATGCAGTGATGTATTTGAAAAATATAATAGCATTTTTTTTCAAACAGAATTTTATAATTTTGACAGTCAATAGAATTTATTAATTTCTATAAAAAAGTATTAATATTTTTACTCTAAATCTATTGATTTTTAAGTTATTAAATTTAAAAAGTTAGTAAATTATTTAATTGCAAATATTTAATACTTTTAATCAATGCAAAGTTAAATACTTAGTAATTTTTCTAACATAATATATTGATCAGAGTTACAATCATCTCATATCTTTATACTTTAGATTAATATTTTTTTCTTTTTTAATAAAAAAAATTTTAATATTATAATAAATCATTTAGCAAGAACCAGTTAGTGATTGATCTCAGTCACAATCGTTCATCAATCCATCAATTTGATTTTTTCTTGAACTAATGGCACATGTATAAATGATACATACATATTTATATATATGTACACTTTTTCAACACTGTTCAATACTCATCAATCTTAAATATCATATTACGGTCAAATCAGTTAGAAAACAGAGCCAAAATGATCAAATATATATGTATATTTCATATCACATATTGAATAATAATATATAATAATATATAACATATTGAAAAATAATATTTTTAAATTAATAATATGTATATTAATATATTAAGGTGTCCCATAAGTTTCGTAACCATACTAGGAATGATTTTAACTGGCTATTTTTATATAAACATGGAAGCTTATTTATTAGCCATTTATGGCATCAGTTTTAGTCACTTCAGGGCTCTTTTAAAGTACATTTTATTGGTGACATAGTCTCTTTTGAAACTTCTTTCTATACCATTCAAAAGGAAGCATTTGCGGCATGTTATGCTTTATTGTTTCAAAAAATAAATAGTGCAAGTGATAGTGCAAATGATACTGCAAACAAGATTTGTACTGTTTACGGAAGTGGTACTATAACTATTACGATCATCCGTAATTGATTTAAGAGATTTAGATTTAAGAGCTAGCAATTTTGATTTTTGAAAGATGAAGATCGCAATGATCGCCCAGCAGCGATGGATACGGATCTTATCAAGGCCATGTTCGTTGAAAATCTGCGATACTGTTTGTACGAAATAGTGGATATCTCTACAATCCCACGACAATACATAATCATCTGATCAGCATGGGATATATCAATCGATGTAAAGTTTGAATTCCATAACTATTGACGGAGACCGGCCTTATGAACCGCATCTTTATTTCTTCAACGACATGAAAAAGATTCTTTCTTAAAGAGTCTTATCACTGGAGACGAGATTTGGATTTTGTATCAAAATGTACATCGAAAATGCACTTGATTTAAGAACAATAAATCTTTAACTTTTGCAAAGCCTGGACTTCACCCAGAAGAAAGTTCTTTTGTCCATTTGATGAGATTGAAAAGATGTAATTTACAATCAGTTTGATAAATTAAAAAACGCCATAGCAGAAAAACGGCCAGAATCGACGAGACGTTTTTCATCGCAACATATTATAATATGTACAACATGCAAAACTGCATGTTGCATTGGGTGTAAGAGAAAAGCTATTAGTTTGATTGGGACATTCTATCGCATTTTCTGTACTTTCCAGATCTTATTTTATTCAACTTTTACTTGTTCCTGTCATTAAAAAATTTTCTCCATGATAAACGATTCCAATTGGTAAGCGAAATAAAAACGCATCCCGAAGAATATTTTGCAAATAAGCCTCAACAATTTTGGAAAAAAAGAAAAATGAGGCTTCCTGAGAGATAGAAGAGGGTGATAGACGGTTTATATATAATGCGATAAATCAACCTTAAACAAATATCGTGTATTCATGTCGTATCAAAAAAAAAAAAGAAACTTATGGGACATTCTAATATATAATAGAAAACATCAAAATCAATATTTAATAAAAAATTACTATTTTAATTGTTTTATTAAATTTTTTAAATAGTTTTTTAAGTCCGAATATTTTTGTGAGAAAAGTAAATAAAATTATGATTTGATTTAATTTTTAATATTATTTTTTATATGAAATTAATAATGTTTTGTAAAGTATAATAATAAATAATTAATAAATTTGAATTTATTTTTTCTATAATTAACATATATATGGAATTAAAATAAAATTAGTATCTGAATATTTTTATAACCATAAATAGAATATTTTGAACGGTTGAAATCCAATATAATATTTTATAGTAATGCTGTGACAAAAATAAATAAATAAATACGCAATAAAAAAAATTTCTGTAATTTTACTTTTATTTCTGTAAAGATATTACTAATGAATTTTTTAGATTTTTTAAAATAAGTCCAAATGCGATATAAATTAAACAAGTTTAATTAATAATTAAGTTACGTTCATATTATTGAATCTTATTTTAATTCATTATATTTAAAAAAAATTTTCATATTTATATTTTTTCTCTAATTTTTAACAAAACATAACTTTCTATATAATATAGACGTGATTTTAAATAGTAGATATATAATAAATAATAATACAATAATGAATTATGATACTTTGCTTTATATAATGTTAAAATGCTATAATGTTTTTTCATGTGTATAATGTGGAACTGGTTTACACCAACATTTCAATATTTTCAATAAATTATAATAATAGATTTTAAATGTCAAAAATAAGAATCTAATGAATTTAAAATCCGAAGAACGAGATGACCATACAATCTTTCACATCCAATTCAATTATTTGATAAATGTTCATTAAAAAAAAAAGCTAAACAATCTATTTCTATTACTTTTTCATATCTTATAAGAATAAATAGAATACTTCTTATTTTTCTTTTTTTATTGTTCATAAATATATAATCATTTTCAATTCTGAAATGTTCCATTTGAATATTTGTAAAAAAAAAAAAATTGAATTATTGAATATTTTGTAATATAAACAATTTATAATAATTAATTCTTAAATAATTTAATTCTTAAATATATAAAAATTAAAATATAATATAATATTTAAATAATAATTTAATAAGGATTCATTTATTTTAATAATAATACATTAATATTAATAAAATATTGCGTAAATTTATTATTTATAAGTCTATTTTAAGTCTAATTTATTTATAAGTCTTCAAATTTTTTATAAAATAAATATTAATATATATATATATATATATAAGAATTTGAATATATTAAATTATAAAATTCAGAATTTTATAAAAAAAGCAAAAAAAATTTTATTCATCATTGTTTATAATAAAATACAATTGAACTAATACTATATTGTAGATAATAAATATCTATTTTTAATTATTTGAAATTTTTTATTATAATAAGTATAATTTTAAAAGTCGTAAATAGTTATAGTAAAAAATTAGTTTTGGTTAACTATATATTTACTAATATTAAATTCATTTTTTTAATATATATATAAAATATTAATATATTCGCGAGACACTTTGATTGTAAACATAAAAACAAATACTGAAAATTGATATATAAAAATGTTCGTGGAAATTTATTTATAAAAAAAACTTAATTTCATATTAGATGAAATAAAATGAAAACAGTATATATGACAGCAGTATAATGGAAATAGAATGATTTCACTTCCATTTAATCTCGTTAAAATTTTAACTATTTATAAATGAATAAGCAAGAAATAAACAAAAGATTTTTATATACTAATTATTTTTGTATTATTTTTGACTTCTAAAATTGATTTTCTGAAAAAGTGTCTTACGAATTTAATATCTTATATGTATGTATAACATATATAATAATTTAACATGGCACGCAGTTATTACAATTTCTTATTTAAAATTCCTTTGTAACAATGCAAATTAAGTTTCAAAGATTGAAAAAGCAAAAAGTCTTTTTTTATATATATTATGTTATCAATGTAATGTAAAAATTAAAAATATCTATTGTACGTAAATAAAATGTACTATTGAATAAATATATTTAATATATGTAACAAAATTGTATATCATATAGAATATCGAATTTCAATAAATAAATAAATAAATTCGGAAATCTATCAATTCTTTATAAGTAAAAACTGATCATACTTGTAATTTAATGCTACATTTACTATTGGTAAATAGATATATTTATTTTATTTTTATATATTTAAATATTTCTGAAAAGTGAATTGAATAATTAAATATTTTTATGAATATAAATTAGTTATAAAGAAAAATATTATTTTTATATGATTTATTATTAAATCTTTATTCTTAATTGTTTAATAATAGTATATCATTAAAATTATTTTTTTTTTTTTTTTTTTTAGAAATGATTTTCAATCAGGAAAAAAATTGTATGTCAATAAATTATGAAATTCTGGAATTCTAAATATATATGATATAAGATTCTTTTACAAACTACATTATTTCAAGGCATCTAAAAAACACTAAGTATAAAAGACATAGAAATTTTAATAAAAAAAATGAAAAATATTTATGTATATTTTATGATTAAATAATAATTAATTTTTTATAAAAGAAAATAAAGAATTTTTTAAATTTTTATTAGAAATTTGGCATTAGAAAAAGTTGACAAGATCAAACGGCTACTTTTTGTAAAGCAAAGTAGTATTACTATCTGCGTGCTAATATTCAAGTTTAGATTTTTTATTTAAATTTTTTAGTCGTTATTTATAAATACAATATATGTTATTTATTAGTTATATATATTGATTAATTTATTTAGTTGTTTCATTTTTTATATTTCTCAATAGTAATTTATCATAAATTTTTAAAAATCATGCATTTCCAAAACTATGTAAAATAGTGTTTAAAACCTTTCCTAAGTAATTTTCGCAACAAGAAACTTAAATTTTGTGAATTTTTCTACTGCCTCAAATTTGTTATTTATTTTGTTCATAAGTATGATTATATTCTTCTTCAAGAAAACTCATTCTTTTCGAATCATCAATTTTTTTTTTATTTTTTTTTTACAATAATTTCAAATTAAATTTGCATCATATTTATTTATATATGATATGTTAATTTCTTCCTTTCTTAGTTTCATAAAAAAAAAAAACAAATCTTTGATATATTTTTAAAATTAAGATGCATTATCAACATTTATCTTATTTAATGTATATTATAATAAAAGTTTTTACAATTTCTTTTCGTTTTGTACTATTAACGTGTGAAAAAAAAAAAGAATGTCAAAACAAATTTTAGTCATAAATAATAATTAATCCAATTATATGAAACAAAAATTCCAAATTTATCATAAAATGAATTCAGAAAAAGTATATTAATTTACAGATCTTAAATTACGTCTATATAAATTATGCAGTGACAAATCATAAGGAGTTGACGCAAATCCGACATATTTATTATTTTTTTTATGATAAAAAGTACTACTTTGCGGGTCAGTTTTATAATAAATTACTCTTCTAATACCAAATGGATCGATATAACCAAAAGAACCGATATTACTTCCAGTTGAATCTTGTTCTTCTTCGTGATATTGTCTTTTCAGATAATATTGAAATCCATTAGCAATATTATATGTTCCATCAAATTCAGGAAATTCTGTTGGATTATTTCGTGATGTACTGCTTGTATGAATTGTTGATAATTGGATATGCGGTTGATTAAGTGGCATTTTCGGTTGAAGAATATTATAATTTTGAGATTGAGAATAATTATTTAAATCGCGTAGTCCCGAAGACAAACTTGTTGGATTCATATTGTAATAATAATCATTAGAAGTAAATGTAGGAGATTTAGCTTGAGGTTTGGCAGTTGTACTGGCATAATATTCAGAATTGATAGCATTATCAAAAACTGGAACAACATGCTCTGTTTTTGATCTGAAAAGAAACAATTATTAATATTAATATATTATTCACAAAAAAATAAATAATAAATAAGGTTTTTAATTATAGATTTCTTTATTTTATTAAGAAACAAATTTAATTGAATTAAATAATATATTTTATTTACATCGAAAAATAATGTTTTATTATTTTTTGTAAAAAATATAAAATGAAAATAAAGTAATAAGTTATTTGAAAAGATAATTAAGCTAAATCATAATTTGCAATATTTATATAAATTATATTTTATTTTTATTAGATTCAAATCTTTCAATTATGTAAAATTTATAAAATATGTATTTAACTTAATTATTTCAATACAATTAATTATATTTGATTATATATTATATTATATTGATTATATTTATCGTAACAAGTTATTTAATTATAATATAAATTCATAATTCATAAATATTTTAATACTACATATCCCAATATTCAATAATTGGATATATTTACATTTCATACATTTTTGAAAATTATTTTTAAATTTAATCACAATTAATAAAATTTATCACAAATTTTTCAAATATTTACAATAATATTTAGACATAATAATACATATTAAATTTAATTATAACGTTTAACTTTATCTATATCTTTGTTAATTATAAAAAGATGAATTCAAATTTGTTTTTTTCGACTTGTTAAATTTTATAAATATGAATAACTTATTTAATTAATATAATAATATTATTAAAATAATATTAAAAATTAAATGGAATTATATCTATTTTTCATGTTACAAAAATACTCAGAAACTTCAAAAATTACTGCTTAAATATTTAATTTATATTTTTATAAATTAATAATAATAAATTAGTAATAATACCTGAAAGGATTTGGTGGACGTCTTGGTTTTACAAAAATTCCAGTTTGAGTAGGTACTCTTTTCACTTCTGTTACTGCATCATAAATAGGTCTATTATTACCCACATATACCATTTTTGATCTAATTAAAACATAAAAAATAGAATGTAATTGATAAATTTTACAAATAAAATTATGTAATAAAAGTATATATTTTAAATCTATTATTTAATTTACAACATAATATATAAAGTTTCAATATAAAATAATATGTAACATAAGATTCCAACGTTAAATATCTCTTTTCTAATATATTATATAAACGATATAAATATATTATTATTACAAATATTACATTAAGTATTACATTAAATATAACATTATTTATTAAATTTCACATAAATTATTACTATAATATAATATATATTACTATACTAATAATATATTATATTATTATGTTATATTATATTATATTAATATATTATATTATATTATATTTTAAATAATTTATATTATATATTATATTTTACAATAAATCATAATAATTTCTTTTTTCATAATTTTTTTTTAATTGAAGATATTTATCGATAATAAATTTGAAAGGAATGAAAAGATTAAAACATATATTTAAAAAACCAAGAAATTTTTTAATATATTTAATATTTTACTCAAAATTTTCATACTAGATCATTGACGAATTCGATGTTCATTCAAAAAATATTATATATCATTCATCACTTATAATCCAAATAAATTTATCAAATGGAAAATATATATTTATATATATATATATATTAATATATATTTATATATTAAATATATATTATTAAATATATATTTATATATATTAATATATTAAATGAAAAATGGAATACATTTATTGAATTTTTCTATACTATGAAATTACTTTAAAAAATATTATTTGATTTTCCAATATTTGTTATATCTAAAAAACTACTCAAACAAAAATTCAAAATAAAACAAGATATCATATGTTTACTAAGAAATTTTATATTAATATTATAAATTATTCAATATTGAAAATGAATTTTATTAATCAAAGTTAACCGAAAAATATTACAAATCGAAAAAAATTTGGAATCAAAAATGATCTCAAGTTTCTTGCGTGAAAAAATTGTTACACTTCTTATAAAGGAATATATTGAATGTATATACTGATTTTAATAAAACTTACATGAAAGATTTTCGAAAAATATTTGATATATTTATACTTTTTTTTATATTATATAATATATATTTATATTATATATTATATAATAATATATATAATATTTCACACTAAAAGACGTAATGTAGAATTGAATACATATTTTCTGAAATATTTCCAAAATTAAAAAGAAAAATTTTTTTTTTAAGTTATATATTTTGAATAATAGAATATAAAATTCAATCACTCAATAAAAAACATTTAATGTTTTTAACAATTAACATTTTAATTAATACTTTTTAATAATTAATATATATATATTATTTATATATATTTATATTTATATATATTTATATTTATATATATATTATATATATATTATATTTATGTATACATTTTAATAATATAATTTTAGTTATTACTTAAATAAATAATTTTTGATGATTTTTATGATTTAAAAAAATGATTTTATCAATTATACAATTCTTAATTAGTGATCTAATATTTTATTATATTAATTTCAACTATTATCAATTGCAGTCAATTCAAATAATGATTGTATATTAATAAGCATTAATTCTTAGCATTAATTTGTTGAGAAAATAAAAGTTAAAAATTTCGAATAACATTACTTTAAATAAATTTAATTACTTATTAAAATGTTTGCATAATATTTATTCGTAGTTTATAGTTGATTCGCTTTTCATATAACTTAAACTGTTTATATAGACATAGTTATTTGCAGTTATTTGATGTTTTGTATAAATAAATTATTGAAGCAACTTAACATTAATTATTAAATTTTGCTATCTACAGTTTTTAATAGTACTCTGAGTTAAGTTATTCTTTCGTACAAAAATAATCATTAAAAAAGAAAAAAAAAGATCATGTAAAATGAGACTGCATAAATTGAAACCGCGGAATTATTATCTATAAAAAGAAACTCACGTAAAAAAGTATTGCGTAAATAGAAAGATTTGTAATTGGTCTAATGCTATATAATTGAATTTAAAGCGATTCATTTGTCATTTGTCATTATTTATAAGAAATATGTTTAAATTGCTGTCTTCGAATAACAAAAAGTCTTCAAATAAAAAGAATTAACATCAGATTTATTATTTTCAATTTTTTTATATCAAAATTATCAATTATATCAATTATAATCAATCTTTCTAGAATATATTTTATAAAAAAGTAAGTTTATAATATTTATTAAGGATCATATAAAAGAAGTTTATAATATTTATTAACATTCGTTGAATTAATCGAAATTGATATTTGAGGAATAATATCTATTCTCATAATTTTATTATTTTAATTATTAAAGCTTTTGTGCTGACATAATTACTTCTAATTTTATATAATTTGAATATCACAATATCAATCATAAGTTCACAGCTTATTATTTATTAATAATAACAGTAGTTTATCAATATTTATAAATATATATAAAAATATATATAATATTTTTTATTTTTTTCTTGAAAGAAGAAAATAATGAAAAAGTAAAATCTCAATTAAATGTACAGTTAATACTTCAATATCAAGACACATAATAAGTTATATTTAAATATGTAAATGTCGCAAAATATTAGATAACGAATATTTTATAAAATTATGTTTATTGTATCTTTGTTTATCAAATATTTTATTTCAACTACTATTTTATTTTTTATTCTGTTCTTCTTTATATATATATATATATATATAAATTTATACAAAAATTTAAATTATTCCATTTTCTTTTATTATTATTAATTTTATATTTCATATCATATTTTATACTTATACATACATATATATTTATACATATTTTATACTTATATTATAATATTCATTTCAAAAATTATTTGTAATGAATATTTTTGAAGGTATTCAATTGTAATTGTATTACAATGCACATAAGGTAAAAAAGTAAAAAATACTTTTTATTTCTTTATTTTTTATTCAATAAAACGATTTTTTTACAAAAATAATGATGTATCATGATTGTTCATTTTGATAGTTATTTAAAGATATTATTTACAAAGATATTTTATTATTATTATTGCATATTTTAAAAAAATTGTTTATTTCTTTATATGATTATTTCTTTTATTTCTATTTTATACAAATTTAAAAAAATAATAACATTCAATAGTATATTTTTAAAATATTTAAGTTAAATACATAAATTTTTAAAACATTTCTGAAATATTATAATTATATATTTACTTATTTATAATTATATATTATTATAATTATATATTTACTTATTTATAATTATATATTATTATAATTATATATTTACCTTAAAATTCGAAATCCGTTGTTATCTGCTATATAGTCTTTAAGTCGTAAATATCCAAGAGGATCTAACCATCCTTCTGTACCAATAACTGTTCCATCAACTAATCTTTTTTCTTTTCTGTATTGTCCATTTAATGTTTGAAAACGAAAATATCTTTCAGGTCCTTCATCTGTTTGAATGTGATATTGTGTATTTGGATCAAAATTCCAACCACTTTTCTCTGTTTGTAATCCACTGGTTGATAAGCACAAAATAAATGCCTGAAATGATAAAATAATATCATTTATTTTGAACACATATAAATCGAAAATTATTTTATATCAATATTAGAAAAATACATTGAATTTATTTCAATTATATTAGAAAATGAAACAGAAAAGACAAATAAAATAAAATAATAAAATTTGAAAAGGAAATTAAAAAACAATTAAATTATATTTATATATAAATATAATTATATTTATATTTATATATAATATATAAATTATATTTATATATGAATAATTTATAATGCACTTTAAATGTAATTAAATAACAATTATGACAACAATGAACAATTAATAAATTTACAGAAACACAAAAAAGGTTTAGAAACAAATAATTAATTTTAAACATAAATATTTGCAAAAAGAAAAACAAAAAGACAGATTCATAGAACAAAGTGAGTGAACAATAGTAAATCTAAAGAGCGAGAAAATAATTATATCATAAAATAGAAAATAAAATGAAATGGTGAATAGAAGATTAATTTGTTTAAAATAAAAATATAAAAAAATAGAAATTACGGAATTAGAAAAAGGAAAACCGAAAAAATTATTTATAATTGTGGAATCTTTCTTTTTTATTTAGCGAGGAATAAAAGTTTTTATTATATATTATATTAGTATCCCTAAAGATCGTTTCTTCTGTAAGTTCTTCTATAAATTTACATTATTTGGAAATTTATTTAAAAATTTATTTGAAAATTGTAGGATTGTATTTAAAAAAAATTTTATTTAAAAAATATATTTATATTATGAAGAACATACTGAAAGTTTTATCTTTTTAAAATTATATTTTAATAAACTTTCATAAAATCAGATTTTTTTTTAGATTAAATAAATTTTTTTGTAAAATATTATTCCCAAAAATTTTTACTTCTTCCTATGAATTTGTAAGTAAGATAAAAATAAAAATGAAGATTATTTAAATCTGTAAAAAAAATGTTGAAAATATTTTTTTTTAAATGTTTATTTTAATATTCGATGAAAAAAAATTTGGTATCATTAGTAGTAATATTCAAAATGACAAAAGAGACTATTATTATAAATCATATTATAATTATATATATGTATAATATATATTTGATAAATGATAATATAAATTAATTAAAGGCCATAATAACTTAAGTAAAATTGATAATTTATATTAATAATATATTATCATATCACGCATTAATATCATAAAAAATGTTTACATTCAAAAGATATGTTATAATTGTTCTTTTCATAAATGCCTTGAATGCATTAGAAATCTATTAATTTTTTTTTTTATATTTTTGATATAGATATGTAATTAGAGAATAAACTGAAACAAGGATAAAATAATATTGTTTTAATAACTTGAGAGATTTGGAGAGATGATTAGTTTTTTGTTTTATACAATTAATAGATAGAATTCGATCTCGACTATCTTCTTTTTATCTATCATTTTTTTAATAGTCTCGATCCAATTGTTAATTATTTCAACAATGAAGTTCGAAGAAGTTCAATAAAATAACATATATTCAAATATATGCTTATAATAAAATTTTAATTGAATAATCTTCATATAAAACTAAATTATAGAATAATAAATAATAATCATAATATAATTTTATTTGAAGAAATCAGACAATAAAAATATTACCAATATAAACTAATTTGGGAAAAAGAAAAGTATTATGCAGACTTTTCAATATACATATAATATTAATATGTGATTAAATGTGATTTTGAATTTCGATTATTACTTTTTTTTAAATTCGTAATCTCGTATCAGAATGAGAAATATTGAGTAAGAAATATTAGTATGAGATAGACAAAATTTGTCAATTGATTTAACGATGAATCAATTCAATTTACCTATTTTCAATGATTTATAGAATTCAAATTAATTTAAGTATTATATAATTATATAATTATATAATTAAAATAATGTGTAATCATCTTACAATTCTGAATATTGTGAAATTTGTAATTTTTTTAAAATAAGTTTTTATTAATAATAAATTAAAAATTAGATTTGTTAAGTAATATATAGATTTTAATATGTATAAATGTAATTAAAAATGATAAAATTTTTCTTTTTTAAAGTGATATAAATATATTATATACAGTTATATTATACATTTATATTTACAAATATATTGTACATTTTCTATTTATATATATTGTATATTATACTCCATTAAAATTCAAAAATAGCCATTTGTATATTTTTTCGTTAAAGATTTTCGCGACATTTTATTGCCAGCTGAATGCTTTCACTTTATTGCTGTTTCTATATAGGTTTTTATAATCGTATTGTTAAAAAAACAATATCATCTATCTATAATAAAAAACAACAGAGAATCTCTACTTAAATACCGATAATGAAAATTCCATTCATAGAATGTGGATTTTTATATATATATATATATACATTTTGTAGCAAATATGCCCGAATACTAAATACACAAGGTATATCTAAATCTATTTCACTTTTTTGAAATTTCACTATCTTGTATAAATATATTGTTTTTGTTTTGTTAAAAGCCTAATAAAATGAATTATTGATATAATGAAAATAAAATTCAGAATATATAAAAGTATGGTATACATGTGAAAATTAATTTCATTCTTTAGAATTATTCTTTAGAATATATAAATAGAAGTATATAACTTTTAATATAACTTATTAATTTCTAGAAAAAGATTTCGATAAAACATTCTGTAAATATTTATAGCATATATATATATATATATATAAAATCTAAAATTTATAGAATTTATTCATTTACATTCAAGATAAGAAAAACATGAATAAGAAAATGTTTTATTTTCGCGTGTTCTTTGTCTTTCAATAAGAATACTATTATTAAAATTCGTATATAATTTTTTAATTTCACTATTATTGTTAAATTATTAGTAATATCATTGTTAATATATATTGTTAATATATTATATATGGGTCATTTTAAAAATATATAATATAGTCAAAAAGAAGATGTGTAAATAAAAATATGCAAAAATATCTTTGACATAAAAACGAAAATCAATTTTTTTTTTATTGCATTATATCATTCTGGGTTTCAAAGATACCGTTGAGTTATAATTCAAGTATTTCTTTTGAAAAAAGTTCCATTATTTTTCGAATTCATTTTATTTATAATATTTACATTCTTCAGTCAATTGCAAGAAAAAAAATAGCAATTTTTTTTTTATATAAATAATGATATGATCTGCTATTATATATCTTATATTTTTCTTTCTTTCTTTTTCTTTTTTTTTTTTTTGATATTTTATGAGCTATTAATTTAAATTTATTGTTTGATACATGTATTAATATAAGTAATACATATATAGAAACTTTTAGAAATGCGAGTCCAGGTATTATTTAAATAAGTGAGAAAGAAAAAAAAGAAAAACTATAAAAAGTTTTGTCGAAAATACAAATAAAGAAATCATCGAATGGGAAATAAAATACTAAACATATGTATGAAACGAATTGAAAGTAATTATTGAAAATGATCTTTTCGAATGTATTTAATTTTTCTTTTCTTCGACGCATTTTCGCTCCATTATTTGTAAACAGAAAAAGATACCGTCATGGTCTATTGATACTATGAATTTTTGGATTTTTCTTGATATTATCTGGTGCATCGTGCTTTACTTTTTTTTTTTTTTTGATTTAAAGTATTTACGATTAATTCCTCTCATGGAATTATAAATAAATTTGTTAACATTGTATTGTGGCATGTGAAGTAACTTATAGTGGTTACATTAAATTGTTGTTGTATTTATATGTACAAACTTATATATTAGTTTGATTTCTTCAAATGTGATGTGACAGGAAAACTGATAGAGAACTTGCAAGTACTCTTGAATTTCAGATTTTGTTATTTGAGAATTTGTGAGAAAGAATTTAAATATTTTAGTAAAAAAGTACTGAATCTGTTTTTTCTTGAGAATTCCTAATCTAGCATTCTGGTTCCAAATTTTTATTTGTGATTTTATGATTCTTTTGAATATTTTTCAGAGGAAGTAATTAGTTTCTTTAGTTAGTGTCAGGTTATTTAAATATTCGCCGAAGGATTCATTTTTATGCTAATAATCAAGTGAGTTTCCTGATTACTCTATTCAATAATCTTTTATTATTAGAAAAAACCATATAATATTTTTTCTTTTCAGCAATCTGTTTTATAATGAATTCTGGATAATGAAACAGGAATAATGAAACTGTTGCAGGAGTTGCAGATTTAACTACTTTTATGATATGACTTGTTAGATAATCCATTGTTTCCTTTACTGTTTTTAGTAAAGAATATTTTAATTGAGACATTGATAATGTGACGGAAAAGTATATTATTATTCAGTTTATGTATTTATTATGAAAAGTCTGTGATGTGTCTCAACTATTAGATATATTAGAATTACAATGATAGTTGAACGAAAAATCAGTATTAGAATATATTTTGTATATAATGAAGAGAGACTTTTGACAATATCAATATCAATAATTAATTTCGACAATTAATAATGAGAGAGAGATTTGGTATTTTATTCATGTAATTCAGTAAATGGATTCTCCAGTTTTTGTATTAGTTTATTTATTAACTTGTACAAATGCTCTATTTCTTGGATTTATGATTCCCGAATCCCAGAAGTCATTTTTTTTTGTTGAAATCGCTTTGTATTAGAAATTTATTATCTACGCTTATAAAAAAGATATTAAAATCTTCTTTGGAAACTGTATATTTAGATAAGCATACTATTGATATAATAATAGAGTTATGCTAATTCTATAATATTATGTTCATTGATTACAGATAATCGTGATTGTAAATTAAAAGTACGTGGTATTTCATATTAGATTTGATTATTATGGCAATATCACCATGTGTTCTGCTGCACGGATATTGTATTATATTTATATCATATTCTCTTATTTTTAGTAATTTTTTTTACTAAAATGAATTTCGATAACTAATACAATTTAAATTTTTTGACAAATGATGAAAATTTCTCATGTTTGTGACATA